TTACGGGATGTTTTTAAAAATATGCATTTTTAACAAATCAGTTTTTGAACATTTCTCGCGGAATTCATTAATTCAGTTGGGGAAAAAGATACCCTCTCATAACTGCTAAGTAGTTATAATTCTTGTCTAGATTATACGGAAGAATAAGGAACCTTTATTCTTCCGCAAATATATCTATAGGATTAGATCCATGGGCATTAAGTCAGGCGGCTTCGACGGCCAACATCTTGGGATCTTGGTTAGCTTTCAATTATTCTTGAAATTGGCTGCAAAAAATTTGCTGATAACTTCAGCGTTCGGAGGCGGTGCGTCATCTTGCTGGAAAATATGTTTTTCGAGTTCCATTAAGGGCATACCATCAATAAGTGGTCCAAAGCCTACTAGTTAAAACTAGAGAACTTTTAAAAATTCTGTATTTCGAAGGGAATTAAAGCAAAATATCAAGTGTGCTATATTTTTGAAAAGGTAATTTTAAATTCTTTTCAGTTAATTAAAAATATAGAGGGTGTCCCAAATAAAAAACCAATTTTTCTGTTGATAACTCTTAAATTATTAGTTTAAAAAAAATTATACTTAAACCATTAAATTCTAGGTAATAAAGTGCTTTGGAAATGTATAATAGAAATACAAAATTTTCCATAGCAAAAAAGTTACACAGCGATTTGTTAAAATGCACATTTTTGAAAAACACCCCGTAACTCCGAGACGGTAACAGATATTGATGTGCGGTTTTCACCAGCATGTTTTTGATGAAAATTCAGCTCCAGACAACGATATTAGTTTTCGTCTAACTCCTATAGAAAAGGGTGTTTCCATTTAAAAGCGTCGAATTTGACCCACCCTGTACAAGATGCCGAAGCAGCTTAACGGCCGTTGCAAAAGACTCATGGCAATCTTATTAGAATATTTTGAACAGAAAAGCGGTAGCAATAGCCCTTAAGTGCTGTTAAGGAGGTCAGTTTTGTTGATGTAAATAATAACTGTTTATATATTTATAATTAATTTATTTTTGTTTTCTAAAATATTTTGATTAAAAGAAAATATGTAAAAGACGACAACGCTGTGTTTTTCTCCGTTCGTAATCTTTTTATTCAAAAGTCGAAATCTTCCATGGCCCGTTGTACAAACATAAGTCCGGCATATTTCAGGTGACCTCTATGTGTACTTATTTCTCTGAGCCCCCGACAATAGTACTTAAAGATGGATTATTATCCGGCAATGCTATCCGCTACCATATTCGGTCAGAAAAGAGAAATTCTACATGCGGCAATTTTTAATTTAATTTTGTGCCGTTGGCTGTATAGTACTGTTTGTTGCCGATGTACTGATAACGCTTCGGGCATATCAAAGTACTCTCGGTACTGATAAAATGTATAAATAATTAACGGCGTCATGATAGGCGCAGAAATCGATTATAATTTTGTACGATTCGACCATGATGATGAAAAATTGCCTTGCTCTAAAATGGTTCATCCCGTTAATACTTTTCCAAATTTTCATTAACTATTCTAGAACAAGCAAAAATTTTTATGAAGAATGCATTTTTTTCAAAATGTATACAGGGTGGCGCCCCTCATTCGCCTCGGTTGATTATACAAAAACGGGAAGATGTAGAAACAAAATATTTTATGGGTATATGTGGGAAGACAATGTGCATAATTTAAAATAATTTTCAAATGTACAGGATGTGTCAGAACTAGGATCTATACCAAAATTATTTCTTATGGAACACCCTGTATGTTATTTCATTTTTGGATTCTTGGACATAAAATAAGGCATTTATTATAAAGGTTTAATATGTTTAAGACCTTTAGTTTTTGAGATACAGATAGGTATAGGAAACACTAATATAGTTTGAAAGAGCATTTAAATCTGCTTCGACTTATTTTAAAATATACATAGTGTTGCATTTGAAATAACGAAATTTTTACGTAAAATAAATATTTAAAATAGACGAGCAATTTTTGATATCCCTGTATACATTTTGGGAAGCAATCAAATTTTTTAGTAAAGTTTATTCCTCTGGCTTAAAAGTTAGTATAAGAATTAATTCTGAAAAGTAATGTACAGGGTGTTGACAAACTTTTTATTATAGCATGCATATTTAAACAACTCTAAATATCTCAAAAACCATAGCTTTTAAACATATTAAACCCTTATAATAAATGCCTTATTTTATGTCCAAGAATCCAAAAATGAAATAAAATGCCGGATGTTTCGTAAGAAAAAATATAACTTTGGTATGGATCTTAGTTCTGACACACCCTGTACATTTGAAAATAATTTTAAATTATGCACATTGCCTTCCCACATATACCCATAAAATATGTTGTTTCTACACCTTTCTGTTTTCGTATAATCAACCGAAGTGAATGAGGTGCGTCACCCTGTATATTGTGTCAGAACTTAAGCGTACCTATTCAAACAAATTAACATAAAAAATACCTTAATATACACTTTCGTACTCCGAAACAAGTAATCGAAATACCCGGCGCACAGTGGGGTATTTGACACTGATAGTTGATCCAAATTTTTTTATGTAGACCTTATATAAATTATTGCTATTTTCAGTTAAAGAGGAAATAATATGAACAAAATAAAGGATAATTCGTCGATTCTAAAAAAAGAAAGAAAAATCACTGTTCCAGTGTTTCCACGGTCAGTGCCAGTAGTAATATCGCAACTACTACTACTAATGCTACGACTGATCCGCGAGCAATGCCCATACCACTAAAGCCGCTACTAATGCCAAATTGTGCTATACTGCTAATGGCACTAATGCGATCGCTTTGTACACAACAATGCCATCGCGGTTTACACCTCGCATTAGTATATCACTGATTGGCAAATTGGAGGAAACCAAGAATGTTTTTCTCATTTTATCAGCAAAATCGCAAAAAGTCGCAGTATTTTATTTTACTGTATGAAAGCCCAATGTTTACTAAGTAAAACGTATATAGACAATATGCTGAATTCTTCGAAATGCGCAACTAAATCTCTAAGTATAATAAAAATGTCACAAATTTAATCAAATTTTCTGAACGCCTAACTTTTAGTTGCAAAAAAATCGTTAGTATAGAGAATATCAAAATAAATAATACGTTTTTGTAGAATACATACCTGCCGCTTGCTGAGCCATTTTCAATCAAAACGATAATATAAACGTAAAAAGAGCACAAGAACAACAACAATTTATAATTTTAAAAATAAAATTTAGCCATTTACCTCTTATCTGTGACAAATAACAACTTTGACGTTTCGTTGAAACACATGAATGCAACTAAACACACCTATAGCAACGCCATTCATGGCAGAGATGATTTAACTTATCATTTATCTTTTTTTGGGAAATCTTAAACACATTTGCTTTTTCGAATTTCGATCACGTTTTTCATGCTAATACCCCACCGTGCGGCGCAAGTAAATCACGCATTCCGGTACTACCGGTATACGTACCATCTTCCCCCGAACCGTCGCACACTGGTTCGCTCTTATGGTCGTACGTGGCCAAAACCTGTATATTATTATATCGGGGAAAATTAATGTATCAGTTAATATTTTTTAGTAAATATATAAATATTTAGGCGTTTGGAGTTGCCAAACATATAAAAAAAGTTCTTTATCGTTAGACGTTTTCAATTATACAGGTAAAGTAACGATGATTCATTAGAATTTAAAAGCGCAATTTATTTACCAATATTAATAAGTATTACTTTATAAAGTTATTTAGCAAAAATTAAAAAACAACAAACAGAATGAACAATGGTTAGAAGATATGCGGTAAATCGTTGATAAGCTAATAAAGATACAGGGTGGCCCATAAGTGTGAGAAAGTTCAATATTGTCGTTGCGTAGACGAAAATATGAAAAAAGTATTATATAAATATTTGCATGTTTTATTAAGGTGCATATACTAAAAATATTTTGTTGTATAAAGGGTGTCCCAAAGTAATGATAAAATCCTGGGCTTTTTTAAATCATAACTCCCTTTTTTCTGTACATAATTTGATTCAGCATAAAATTGTGCATATAGGACACTATTTTTATTTGAAAAACTATGCGGTGTTACCATGCTATTTCTTAAAATTTTCATTAATAATAGTAGGTATATCCGAAAATTGGTTAAAATCTGAGGTTAATTTATATTTGTTAATATCTAATGCTATACTATGTTAATACCCTGTACTTTACCAATATTTTCTTAACGCCAAAGAAAATAGAATAAATTTGTGAAGAAAAACTCACATTATCTTATACCGGTCATTTTTTATGGCGTGGCTAACAATGAAATATTTAAAATGCTCTATTTCAATTTTTTAAATGCACATTCATAAACCATGCAACATTTATATAAGACGTTTGTTTACAAGACAATTTATGCTGAATAGCAGATATTAGCAGCTAGTTTGACATGGTTCTCAAAAAAGACATTATGAAGTTTCATTTAAGTTAAAAACAATCACTTAGTTCAGCTGCGATATCCTTGATTTAGTTATATATATAAAATATATTTCACAGGTACAATATAATTTTGATATTTTCAAATGGTTAGTACTATTTTTTTTCATTTTATCTGTCAAAAACTGATATTATATGAGGAAAGTATACGTGCAGTATGGTCTAATCATAAAATGCACTATTTAATATTATTTTGAAAACACTAAGTGAGTAATTTATTCATTGTCGATACAAAAACAGTTATATATGCTTTTTTAGACTATTGCATATAAAATGTTATCACATAAGTGCTCTAAAGTGCATGAATTTCCAAAATATATTTTTATAACAAATCTTTCATGTTTTTAAATATATATTATAAAATATTTGATCATATATGATCAAAATATTTTTTTTCGATATATTGAGTTTTGGCCAAATTTTTATAAGGGAGGGAACTACTGTGCGTCGGTCCATTAAAAGCAAAAAGAACAAAACAACCCGGAATACCTTATCTCGTCCTCATTAACTCCAAACCTACACACGTCTTTATCCGCTTCCAGGTAGAGGAAGAAGTACCGGTACCATCGGACCAGGAGGACACCACAACCACCACCTTGCACATTTCGGAGCCCTGCAAATCCGCTGCAGTACGCTGTTGCGTGGTACTGCTGAAACATCAGTCGTCCCAAGCCGGTCGTACCAGTACCAGCAGTAACATCGCTCGTCTGTTCCTCGCCGATAGTCGCAGTACCGCTTGCTCGTATTTAGATGGTGTTATACCTGGTGATTTTGAGTTCATTTATCACCCAAATAGAGGATATTATGAGAATGAAGTTATGATGATGGACTCTGTAGTGGAAAAGGATGGTTCCGGTAAACGAGTTGTCGTGGAAGACCGAGTGGATGAAGCTGCGAGGTTGGTGCGGGGACCTCAGGATACCACGGCTTTGGTTGGAGATAGGGTACTGCTGAAAGCTACCTACGTGGGGTGGCCTGAGCCTACAGTACGATGGACCAGGGCGGTAAGTTTTGTTTTATTTCATACTAGCGTGTACCCGCGACTTCGTTCGCGTCGGATTAATCATTTGTAATGGTGATGATAAAGCAAAGCAAAAATTTCCATTAACATACAAACTGGGTAAAATTTTCTCACATTTATGTCAGCATGAGAAAAAACAATATGGCGATATTATTATATAACTTGGTAATATTTGAGGGGTAGTTTCACCTCGTTGGAATTTGACTTTGGACAAATCCGTTTGCCAAAAATAAGCTTCTTACGTCAAGAAGAATCGTGGTTAATCAATTACCCAACTTTTTGGAACACCCTGTATGATTTTTTTAAAAATTTCAAAATATGCAAACAAAAAACAAAATAAATTATGCGTGTCCAAGCGTTTTCCCGAGAGACTAACCGTTTTTTAAATAACAAGTATTGTAATATTTGAGGGGCGTTTTCACCCTCTTGGAATTTGAGATTCGAGAAACCCCTCCTTATCGAACCTCTACATCCCACAGTCAATCCGTTTGCCAAAAATCAGCTTTAAACGTCAAGCAGTTTAAGCAGAATCGTGATTACTCAATGGTCATATTTTATGAAACACCTTGTATAAATTTTTAAAAAATCTTAAAATATGTAAAACTAAAAAATTAAATATACGCGTTTAAGAGTTTTTCCGAAAAACTCACCGGTTTTTAAATAAAAAAAAATTCTAATGTTTGAGGGGTGGTTTCACCCCCTTAGAGTTCGAGTTTCGAAAAATTCCTTCTTATCGAACATCTGCACCCTAAAGTCAATCAGCTTTTTAGGTCAAGCGCTTTAAGCAGAATCGTGATTAATCAATCACCAGATTTTTCGAAACACCCTGTATACATTTTTAAAAAATCTTAAAATATGTAAAAAATCAAAATAAAATATACGTGATTAAGCGTTTTTTCGGAAACTTGACCGTTTTTTAAATAAAAAATATTGTAATATTTGGGGGGTGGTTTCACCCTCTTGGAACTGGAATTTCGAAAAATCCCTTCTTATCGAACCTCTATACACGTAATCGTAATTAATCAATGACCGGCTTTTTCGAAACATCCTGTATACATTTTTAAAAATCTTAAATTATGTAAAAAAATAAAATATACGTGTTTAAGCGTTTTTTCGGAAACTCGGCTGTTTTTTAAATAAAAAGTATTGTAATATTTGAGGGGTGGTTTCACCCCCTTGGAACTGGAATTTCGAAAAATCCCTTCTTATCGAACCTCTACACCCAGAATCAACCTATATGCCAAAATTGAGCTTCTTACGTTGAGTGGTTTGAACAGGATCGTGAAATCAGTGAGATATACATGGTGTAAAAAATTACCGGTACTTCAGTGAGTGTTACTACGGATAGAAATAAAAGAAAAAGTGTCTATGAACAATGTTATGCTCTAATATGCTTCCTGAAAATGTTACAGCCCTTACAACGTAGATAATAATATATTTTCTTTATTTTTAAGAACATTGGTAAACCTTTTTCCTTGAAAATCAGTAACAGTTCTGAAAGGGAACTTTTCATTAAGGTAGTTTCTCACAAATAGTATGTTGTTTTATTATGAGTAAAAATGACACTTCTTGTGGCGAGCACGACGTGTAGCGAGCTGTACCACAGTTTAAAGAACATAAAATATATATATATATATATATATATATATATATATATAATATATATATATATATATATATATATATATATATATATATATATATATATATATATATATATATATATATATATATATATATATATATATATATATATTTTATATTCTTTAAACTGTGGCTGTACGTTTGACACATATGCAAGCCACAAAAAGTCATTTTTACTCCAAATAGAACATGCTATTTTTTCCAAAAGCCACAAATAAGTTTTTAAATAATTTTAAAAAATTTAAAAGTAATACCTTGTATGTAATTATACAGGGTGTCCCAGGCTGAGCGTGCATTAGAAGTTTCTAGGGAACTACAATATCTAGTTCGAAGATTTTTGCACATCATTGTTTTACAACGAGATCTTCTTCTTAAAGTGCCTATCCTCTTTGGATGTTGGTTATCACATTGATCCATATTACTTTGTTCCCTGTCGTTCTGAACAAAGCTGTTGGCGTCAATCCGGTCCATGTTCGTAGATTTCGCAGCCACGATATTCGTCTGCGTCCCTAACGAGATCTATCAATTAAAAATATTTTGAATACGTCGGCACTTCCCGCGGAAGTACCGGAAGTTGACTAACTAATTTTATTTGAATTTTTAAAAAAAAAAAAATATTTTTTTTTCTCACAAACGGTTAATGTTAGGTATAGAGTGTTTAATATCAAAATTCATAAAATTTTACAGGGAATTTAATTATGTAATAAAAAACGCGGGCACCCATTTAAAATAAGTTGCTGTCAACTTCCGGTAATTCCGGAAGTGCCACCATATTGAAAATATTTTTAATCCATAGATCATGTTGTAAAACAACGATGTTCAAAAAATCGTTGACCTAGATATTGTAGTTATCTATATAGAAACTTCTAATGCACGCTCAGCCTGGGACACCCTGTATATCGAGAAACTATGCTTACGCTCGTTGTATTTGACACTATATGTCAGTTTAATAATATATCTTCGTACTTTTGTGCTTAGGCGTTAAAATTATTTTTTATATTCTCAATCATGTCGCAAAAATTAATACTTTTGTGATGTTTCTATTACGCTGTACTGTTCAGGTTGCACTCAGGGGTCGGGTAAAGCGGGTGTGTCGCCGAAGGAAATATATATTATTAATGAGAAATCTGCCAAGGCTTAGACCGATCCTGTCATGTTAAGCCATACCTCTACATACCTCTTACATGTTAAGAAATACCACTTCTGCAACTCCCAGTGGACGATATGCCAAGAACGTACAACTTTGACAAACATGTCAATGTAGTATTGAGCAATAAGAAGGATAGGAAGAGCGAAACGCTTGCCCAGCAGTTAAAAGACCATACCATAACTTGGTATACTGATGCTTCCAAAACCAATACGGGAACAGGGATCGGAGTGTTTGGGCCGAGAGCTAAATACTCCGAACCAATGGGCACTTACCCTAGTATCCTACAGGCTATAATCTACGCTATCGAAAGATGCGTACAACTTATCTTTGATAGGAACTATCGGAAACAAGAAATAGCCATCTTGTCTGATAGTCAAGCAGCGTTAAAAGCGATCAACTCAGTATCAATCAATTCGAAATTGGTCAAACAATGCATAGAGAAGCTGAATAAATTAGGCAAAAAAACAAAGTCCTCCTACACTGGGTGCCTGCTCACCAAGGGATAGAAGGCAATGAAAAAGCAAATAATCTAGCTAGGAAAGGAGCGAACACTCCACTAACTGGACCAGAACCGTTCTGCTTTCCAAGTGGTAACCAACTCAAGGCGGAACTCAAGGACTTGGAAGATTCCATCCGCTACCTGGAATGGAAATCTTGCAATGGTCTAAGACACTCGAAGAAGTTTCTGAGGGCTTATGATCAAGAAAAATCACAGATCTTCCTGGGTCTGAGTAAGAACAATCTTCGGATTGTCACGGGGTTTTAACAGGACACTGTCTCCTCAATGAACACCTCAGTAGATTGAAACTAAGAAGAAACGGCGAATGCAGATTCTGTGGGGAAGATGGTGAAACACCAGTACACCTCATCACTGAGTGCGCCGAGACGACAACCATTCGTGCCATGAATTTTGGTACGACTGATATTGGAGATGGAGAACTACCCTCTATAAAACCGTCCCAGATACTGGCTTTTGTCAAAGCCCTGGGACTGTATGATGAGTTATGATTCAAGAAAGGAGGACACAATGGATCTGTAAGGTCGAAGTTATTAACCCCTCTCCCACTCATTCTAAATTCTAAAAAAAAAATCTAAGCCATACCTCAGCCATACCAAAATTACAAACACACGTGCTTTGATTAAGGTTTGCAGAGCTTCAGCATTTGCCATGAAATAGCGAGCAATTTGTTACAAAACCATATAAATTATATATCACTGTATTCACAAAACTTCAATCTATTTCCGTGTTGTAACGGAATTTTAAATTATGTCTTTATTTTCGAGAAAATTTAGTCCAAACATAAGGAATATTTTGTTGATGTTTGACCATCAAAATCTTAAAAATAAAGAAGTTGTCTAAAAATATACTACAATACGGATATAATATAATCCTTTATCTTTATTTCCTTCTTCATTTGTATAAAAATACCTAGCCAGTTTTACAAAAAACGTTAAATGCCGAACGCTTATTTTGCCAGATTTTCGGACTAGTGAAATAGGTATCATAGCATAGGTCATGAATAACATTATACCCCTTCCTTAATACTTTTTATTCATGAAAATCGGTTAATGTAATAATATATACAGAGCGTTCGCGAGCATAATAATTATAATTCTCGGAAAAAAACTAAATAAATCACGCGCCTCACGTGATAAAGCCGCCCGTGGACGTATTAGCACGATATAAATCACGACGGCGAATAAAAATATAAACGTCCATGCCGAGATTTATTATAATATCCAAAAAAAACTGGGCCCCGCGGCGTGCACCCAACGCAGCATGACGGGTACGACCCGTTGGCCGGCCGGTCCACCAATTTCCATTTAATGCGTTCACGCAAATCGATCTTTAATTAATATGGAGGATCCGTCACTGAGAGTGGCCCAAGTGAGTCGCCTTTATTTTATATCGGTCCACTTTGGGCACGACAGCTACATTAGCACGTCGTCTCGGCGAACCTAAAAAAGAAACCCCAATGGGCTTGAATGTGAGTGTTTTTTTGTTTAATAATAATTGTTCTTGTAATTGTATGCGTTGGCATACAATGAAAAAGATATTGATTTGAAATGAAAAAAACAGAAATCAAAAAAACAAAAGTTATTTTTTGTAACGAAAAAAAAATGTAAATTGAAATACAGGGTGGCGGAGGTTCCAATGAGGACGTTACTTTATATCGAAATTAAATTTT